ATGTGGATAACCTCATTCTCTCTGCCAACACACCTATTGAAGCCATGAAGAAGTCCTTGGAAACCCGTAAGATTTTTGGAGAAATGGGCATGAACATAAGAGAATTCTTGTCAAATGACGAAACGCTATGTCACTATCTACCAGAGACTGCTTATGCGAAATCTTCAACGCAAAAAGTACTTGGAGTCCCGTGGAACGCAAATACTGATTGCTTTGAAGTCCACTGCTCCATGACCCCAGTCGACCCTATGACGAAACGAACCGTAGCGAGAAAAATTGCCTCCATCTACGATCCTCTGGGGTGGCTTGTACCACTACTCATTTCTGCAAAAAACTTCCAACAAGAACTTTGGAAACAGAAATTCCAATGGGATTCCAAACTTCCCCCAGAAGTTACAAGCCGATGGTCAGAAATAAGCGAAAACATCGACGGATTTCGGAAATCAATTCCAAGAAGATTTCACGCTGATCCTGAGACACAACACCTTGCGGTTTTCGCCGACGCAAGCGAAATAGCTATCGCCGCTTGCGCTTACCTGTTTAACAAGAACATGTCTTCGTTGATGATGGCTAAAAGCAAATTACCATCGATTAAAACAAAGACGACCATGCCAAAATTGGAAATGAACGCGTTGACCCTTGCAACGCGTCTCGCTCTTTCTGTAGCACAAGCGCTCAAATTGAGGATTCTCAAGAACTCCACCATCTACATTTTCTCTGACTCCCAGATAGCTCTCAGCTGGCTATCTTCAACGCGTCAAACTAACTTGGGAGTACTAGTTGAGAACAGGCTACGCGAAATACGCCGTATCGTTCATCAACTGGAGGGCGATGGAGTACACGTTGTTTTTGGATATATCAACACGTCCGAAAATCCAGCAGACGTTGGAACAAGAGGTCTTACCAAAGAACAGTTAGCTGACCACAACTGGTGGTGTGGCCCGACATTCCTACGTACACCAGTACAACAGTGGCCCACTCCCTTCTATCCATTATCAAAGAGTGATATGCTCATACGTCCCGATTTAAGAAAGGAAGAAGCTGTAATTATAAACACGGTATGTGGAAAAAACGTAGAAGTCAAGGATCTGCTTGACTGGAACCATTGTGGGTCGCTCTCTTCCGCAAAACGGATTACAGCACTTGTTCTTCGCTTCATAAAGAAACTTCTACGCTACCAAAATGAGAACTTAAAGGAAAAAATATTCGCGTGCATCCCTGAAATAAAGAGCATACAGGACTCTACCGGCTTCTTGGAAGGATGCGAAGTACGCGCAGCAAAAATAGCCCTGATTCGCAATCACCAACTAATTTATATAACTGAGGAATATCGGAAATCCATGAAAAACACCTTAAGACTATATCAAGACGAAAACAGAATCTGGCGCTCAAAAGGACGACTAGGACACTCAACATTGAGCGACGATGCCAAGAATCCTGTATTTATAGCGCCCAACACAAATCTAGCAGAGAAAATTATAAATGAGGCTCATGGCATCTACCACAAAGGTACTGAGCATACAATAGCTACTGTACGAGAGCAATACTGGATTCCGAAACTACGTCAACAAGTTCGAAAAGTCATCACACATTGTGTTCAGTGTCGCAGGTTCAATGCGTTACCGTATCGCTATCCTGAAACACCGGATTTACCCCAACGCCGAGTCATACGATGCCGTCCTTTTCAACATACGGGATTAGATTTCTTTGACCTTCCATCATGCACCGAAAATAACGAAAAGTTCAAGTTGACGGATGCATTT